GGAGGAGTGGGAGGATCAGGAGGAGGAGGAGGAGGAGGAGGAGGAGGAGGAGGAGGAGGAGGAGGAGGAGGAGGAGGAGGAGGAGAAGGAGGAACGAGGAGGAGGATCCAGGCTCGAATCGAGCATCTGGTGGCAGATATTCTGAAGAAGCGCTGGCATGATAAGATTCATGACGTCGGAGGTCGGGGTCCTTCTCCTTCATCTCCCGCATGCCGAACACCTCCTGTTGTGTTTTTTTCACGACGCGTTTGAGGCATGTGCTCTGGGCTCTGAAGTCTACCGCGGGGTCCATCCTGGGGTGCGTTTGCGTTCAAAGTCAGAGGAGTATGGAGCCGTGGTCACGAAGAGCAGGAGGTCCCCCAGAATGGGAGACCAGCACGCGAACACCGAAGTGCTCGAAGCATGATCCTGGCTCCTGGCAGCAGCGCGAGGGTGTCTGGAGATTGCTCCGTCCAGCTTTCAGGAGGCCAGGAACGCCAACCACCTCGCGTGACGTTTCTGTTAACGCCGCCAGGGAGTCTGGGTCGGGGGTCAGGAGTCGCCCCGAGGGTCCCTCGCCAGGTGCATCCGGACCAGAGCTTCTCGGGGAATTCGGCCGTGGCCACGAGAAGCCTCCGAGGGAGGCCCAAGAAGGTGACAGACACGAGCAGACGCCCCAGCATCCTCCAGCCGTGATCACCGAGCCTCGATCCACGAGCCCCGACCTTGGGTGTTCGATCATGGACCCCTTGTCAACAGCAACCGTCCAGTTTTCGTGCCAGGAACCGCAGGAAGACGCCGAAGACCGCCGGAAACCGACGAACACCGCCGAATACCGTCCGAAAGGCGTCGAAGACCGCTCAGGCCTGGTGGGTAATCGAGGGGGTCCATCGTCGAAGTGCTCCCCGAGCTTTGATCCGTGAGCCCCGGCCCAGCTCTCTGGTTGACCTAAAAGGGGATCCAGCGAAAAGAGGATGGTGCAATAGATTTGGTGCAATAGATTTGTGGGGTTGCAGTAGATTCGGGGCGTGCAGTACATTCCGGTGCGCAAATGAGTTGCTGGATTTTCGCGCGCACTGCATTCGTTAACAATACGCTGCAATACAACTCGCTGGCGCAGTGCATTAGCAATACAGTCGGATGTTGATAGACCTCCTACCATGACACGTCGATTAGCGAATCGGCCGTTGTCGGTTCGCGAGAGGGCGTCGCGGCCGTCATTTTGGCGGGTCCAGGTCCGTCGGTCTCGGTCCTGAGCCGTTTTTTCTCAAGGGTGGTTTACCAAAGGGAGGTTTGTCCACGGCCGATACAGTTGCCCCAAATCTAGTGCACCACCCCTTTTCAGCTGGACCCCCCTTTGGGCCAACCAAAGTGGGCTCCAGCCTTATGATGTTCCAATCTACTTTAGCCTTGATCACCAGAAAAAAAACACCCCCAAACTAGTGGATTTTCACGTGTCGGGCTCTGGGAGACACTCGTCCGACGCTGTTTCGACCCTGTTTCGACACTCTTTCGACACTTTCCTGGGTGCTCGAAATCATTTCTTGGATGCTGTCCTTTAGTGCGATGGGAGCAACATAACCTTAAGTTGGGCGTGTCCCCCTACAGAGGGGGATTTTCGACGAAAAATCAAACATACCCCCACAATGGTAACAAAAATAGTCCACAAATAGTCTGGGGACTACTTTTTGAGTATTTGTTGGCCTTTTTGGGGTACTTTTGGTGTATTTTTCCAATTTTTGCTTCCGTCGAGAATCCCTCTTGTGGGGGGCCGCGCCCGACAGAAACCCAACCCCGGCCCAGCTCGCCGCAGGCCTCGGCATCCCGGGGAGGGTGTGGCCGTCGGGCCACCTGCTGGCGCGCGGGCTCGCGGAGGGCTGGCCCGGGCTGCCCGCCGTGCGCGGCCGCCGCGTGGCGGAGCGCCCCCGGCGGGGGCGACGACCGACGACGACGACGACGACGACGACGACGACGACGACGACGACGACGAGGACGACGACGACGACGACGACGACGACGACGACGACGACGACGACGACGACGACGACGACGACGACGACGACGACGACGGCCACGGTGACCAGCCATCAGTCGAGGCTTCGGTCGGGCCTGTCCCTCCAGAGGAGGAGCACTCGAGAATGTGGATCAGAGCATAGTCAGGCGACGGACGAGTCTCTGTGATCGTTTGGCGTTTTTGTTGCTCATCATTTTGCTGGTTCTTCCAAACCCGACCTCAGGCTAGGCCTGACAGATGGGGTCGGAGGATCGCGTCGCATCGCCGATGCATCGCCGATGCGGCTCGATACGCTGCCCGCGTTCCACAATACCCACGGCAGCACTGCACTGCCGACGTCACCAAGGCGTCACCGATGCGACGCCGATGCATCGGCGGTGCATCGGCGATGCATCGGCGATGCGGCGCGCTCCTCCGACTCCATCTGCTCGGACCCCGTTTGGGTCGGAAGCCGGGCAAGGGCTGCTAAATCCGTGGCTGCTAAAATCGACCTCCGGGAAGTTGTCTTCGTCCTTCCGGGAAGAAGCCCGTTGACTGTTCCGCGTGCCGCGCCTCAATTCCGGGAAGTTGCTTTTTCCTTCCGGGAGCGCCGTTTCAGCAGCCACGGTTTCAGCAGCCCTCGCCCAGCTTCCCATTGGGACGCCTCTAGTCGGGGGATCCAAGGAGCAGCAACGGCGCAGACGCCACGCTTCCGACGCTCCGCGCGGACCTCTCTCGGAGGGCACCAACTATACACCAACACCGATCCTGGCCCAGGATCACCCTTGTAAAAAACGCTGTGTATTATCTGCTTCTTGCGTTGCAGCAGGAGGGCGTATACACCGATCCTGGGCCCAGGGTGATCCTGGCCAGGATCGGTGTTGGTGTTAAGTTGGTGCCCTCCTAAGGGTGCCTTCCTACTCTCGGGTCTGCGCCCCCCCCCCCCCCCCCGGCGGCACCCGCGTCGCCGCCCCCCCGCGCGCGCTCTCCGCGCGGCGGCCGCGGCGGAGGCCCCGCGGGGTCCCGCGAGAGCCCTTGGCCGCCGCGGCCGGGTTGCCCCTGGGAGTCTGGGCAGACGGCACCCCGGGAGAGCGGCGGGGGAGCAGCGGCGGCAGCACGGCGTTTGATGGGGAGCGGTGCTGCCGCTCCCCCTCAGCATCAGCAGCCGCAGGAGCAGCAGCAGCAGCGGGTACTACCGCCACCACTCCGTAGGAGCAGCAGAGCAGCATCAGCACGGGGAGTGGTGCTGCCGCTCCCCCAGACCGCGACACCACGACGACGACGACGACGACGACGACGACGACGACGACGACGACGACGACGACGACGACGACGACGACGACGACGACGACGACGACGACGACGACGACGACGACGACGACGACGACGACGACGACGACGACGACCGACGACCGACGACGACGACGACGACGACGACGACGACGACGACCGACGACGACGACGACGACGACGACGACGACGACGACGACGACGACCGGACTCGGGGACGTTTGCCGGCCTCCCGGGGCGCCCCCGTGGCCACGGCTGGGCTCGCCCGTCGAGGCGCGGGCCAGGAGCGAGGCCTCCCCGGAGGCCCGGGAGGGGGCAGGGCGAGCACGTGGGAGCCCTCGGATGCTGGAGCCTCGAGCCTCGACTCTGGACGATCGAGGAGGGGGAGGAGGCAGGGAGGAGGAGGAGGAGGCGGGCAGGAGGAGGAGGAGGGGGCAGGAGGAGGAGGGGGCAGGGAGGAGGAGGGGAGGAGAGGAGGAGGAGGAGGCGGAGGAGGAGGAGGAGGGGAGGAGGAGGAGTCAGCATGCGAGCACGTGGGAGCCAGCTGGCCCACTGGAGCCTCGAGCCTCGACTCATGCGCGATTCGAGGAGGGGAGAGGGGGCAGGCGAGGAGGAGGAGGAGGCGGCCAGTGGAGGAGGAGGGGGCCAGGGGAGGAGGAGGGGACAGGGAGGAGGAGGAGGAGGAGGAGGAGGAGGAGGAGGAGGAGGCGGAGGAGGAGGAGGAAGGAGGAGGAAGGAGGATGGAGGAGGAGGAGAGGAGCAGGGAGGAGGCAGGGGGAGGCAGCGGAGGAGGGCAGGAGAGGAGAGAGGAGGAGGAGGAGGAGGGAGGAGAGGAGGAGGAGAAGGAGGGGAGGAGGAGGAGGAGGAGGAGGAGCAGGAAGACGCCTGCCACGCTACGGGCTGGATGCCATTGCTCACCCGCGACACTGAATGGCCCTCCGACCATCTGAGCCTAGACGAGCAGCCGGCACCAGCAATCGGCCTCCCGGGTATTGCATGTCCCGTGCGAGATAAACCGGTACGATTTCGATCTTCCACAACCAGGAAGCCACGCGAGCAGCAGGCCCACGTTACGCGACCCGACCAGACAACGACAACGAGGACGAGGCACCCGACCGCGGAGGCCCTCCGGAACGCCGCGCCGCACCACGCTCAGGCACGAACAGCCATCGACCACAGGGATCGGAGCACAAGAGACAGAGCGTGAATTACCTACCCCCCTTTCGCTTCCAAGCAAAACCAAGTCATACCACGCGCCTCCTCGTCAAGCGGCCTGACCAGTACAGGCCGTAGTTTGGCATCGTTTGGTATCTCTTGGAAGCGAGGGTGATCAAAAGCGAGGTAGGTTTGTTTTCCCCCTAAACAGGCAAGGGCCCCGCCGCTGGGGGGCCTGGCAACAGCACCTTCCGCAGGCCACCGGTTGACACTTTTCGTTCCGTGGGTTCCGCTGGCCATGGACTTGGGAGCGGCCAGCGCGAGCCCTCGCAGGATTCGGGGGCGGAAAAGAGGGGGGTGATGACTAGGGGGGGGTGGATATCATGGCGGGGGCCATGATATTTCCCCAGATTTCATGGCGCCTCTTCTTCCTTCATCACGTCCCTGGCCCCCCCGCGGGGCCGCGCACATGCCGCCGGTCATGATTTGCACCCCCCTCTCTTGGACACCCCCCTCTTGGCCGCTCCCGAAAGATGATGGAGGCGCAGTGCACCTTCCCGACTGCGCTGCAGGGGAGCATGCCACGGCGGCCGCCCGCCACGCGGATCGTGATCGCCGACAGCAGCAGGCCCGACATCGAGCACGACGCCTACGACGCCAGGTGCCCCGTCGTCCGTTCCGACCTCCAAGCCGCCGCGGACCGGGACGAGGAGGAGTATGACCTGGGCTGCGGCAGCACTGGCCACGCCAAGAAGATCCGCGCCATCGAAGCTCCGTACGTTTAAGTCGGGCCTGTCCCTCTACGGGGGGAATATTATCCAAAAGTAGTCAGGAAAATCGTATGGGGACTATTTTTGATTATTTTGGGGCATCTCTTGAGTATGTTTTGATTTTTTCATGTCTCGTCCAAAATCCCCCTCTAGGGGGACCCGCCCGACTTGAAGCTGCGTCCGACGGCCCCACCGTCGCGAATTTCGCTCCCCACGCTCCGCCGGTGCGCCGCGGCGAGAACACCGGCCGGCAAGAGGCGGCAGGCCCGCGACCAGGCCCGGCAGGCGGGGGCGCCTGCCGTGCTCCGGGTCCACTTGCCCGCTTCTCCGAGAAGGCAGGCGCCAGGAGGGGACCCTTCCTCCTCCTCCTCCTCCTCCTCCTCCTCCTCCTCCTCCTCCGACTCCCCCCCCTCCCCCTCCTCCTCCCCCTCCTCCTCCTCCTCCTCCTCCAGGCAGGCGTCAGGCGGAAGGCACACACACAGACAGACACAATGCATCCTCGACGCCCCAGAAAGGACGGGCAACTAATGACGGTAGGTTTGAGTCGTGTCGACCAGCTGGCGACCCCAGCGCGGGCGTTCAAGGTTGAACGCCGCTGGCGACCCAGAATCGATCGATGTTGAACGATCGGACGTTGCGGCAGCGGCCGATCGTTTAAGGTTGAACGATCCCCGCGGTGTCAAAAACCAACGCTGGGGTCGGCACGACACGAACCTGCCGTACGGGAAGTGTGGGGGGGAAGACAAGGCAGCCCAGAAAGCATGGAACCGTGTGGGGAATCCATCTCCACCCACTTCTCCGAGAAGACGGGCGCCAGGAGGGAACAAAAGCACACAGGGACACAAAGCATCCTCGACTCCCGAGAAAAAGATGGGGAAAGTATGTGGGAAGTGGGGGGAGGGAAAGACAAAAGCCCAGAAGACAATGGAAACATATGGGGAACATCCTTGCTATGTGTAGCCCTTTTATTTGTGTGTCCCAAGGCCCCTTCAATGCGTCCACCCATGACTGCTCGCAACCTGGCAGACGAGGCGACCGCCACGCGCTTGCCACGATGGGGCCTGCCCAACGGATGTCAACCTGTGCGCCTTCGCCACCGTGCTACCAATTCTGCTTTCCGGACAACGGACGATCGATCTCTTCCACGAAGCACCGGCCACCCTTTCCTAGTTTTAAGTCGGGCCTGTCCCTCTACAGGGGGAATGGTCAAAAATAGTCGAAAAATGGCCTGGGGGCAATTTGTGAAGTATTTTTTGACCATTTGGGGGTATTGTTTTGGTATCTTTAACTTTTCGTCCAAAATCCCCCTGTAGGGGGACAGGGCCGACTTAAA